ATCTCATTTTGTTGATGTACAGTACTCGCCGTTTGAAATCGAAAATTCACGCGAATAACGCGAATCCTCGTTAATTTCGTGAATTCGTTATAAGTCGGGTCAGAGTGAAGTATTCCAGAAACGGAAAACACCGTTGAACTCAGCTCTTCAAGCGCTACAAGATGGTGCTAAAATATTTTCAGAAAGCTTGATTTCGGATGCGAAGATGCACATCGTATTTCATCTGCAAAAGGTAAGTTGCTGATTGTGGATGTGTATACAATTGCCCTTACTAGCGTGCTAACGTGCTACACACAAAGAACGGGCCTTAAAACTTACCCCAGAATGCGCCACGTACTCAATCTCATCCACTACATTGTGAGATTAGATGAATGTTATTTTCCGAATTCTTAGATCTTCATTTCGTTTTCAAGCGCTTACTAGCTTTACGTGTTCCCTCTGCTCTCAATATCCCATCCTCTGTATATCAAGTGGAATCTTTGAACAGTTCTCGGCAGGCATAGTGGGCCTCTTATGTGACATTTTCCATTTGTCATTTCCAGAGGGCATGTTTTGCAGAAAGCTGTGAAGAGAGCAAACAATTTCCTTCACTGTCCTAGACTACGGTCACTTGTCTGTTAGGAATTATGTGGAAAACTTCGGTCGCAAGTAAGCGTTCCTTCCGTGGTGTGGCCCCAAACATGCCTCCTCGTCATGCCCTTGTGGAATTGTTCAGATTTTGCATTTCCAAATGAACTCGCAGACCTGAAATGTGCCCCGTTAGCTTCCCCGTGTGAAAATGCTATCGAATGATATGCATTGCTTCTCCCAGTTGAAACTTTGGTTTTTCACCGTTTTCAGCCTTCCCCTATTGCCGGATTGGGCACTATCCCACGATTACTGCCCCAAAATTTCAAAGTTTCATTCGAAACTTTGTCTATTGGGGTAATTCGATTGCCCTGCTTACGTAGATATGATCATTCATTTTTGGTGAATGTTTGGTTGTCAGTTTGTGTCGCTTTGGCGCCGTTTGGCGCTATGTCGGCCGCCACAGCTGTTTCCACCAAATCCGCTGAAAACGTGTGTATAGGGGTTATTTGGGGTCCTGATCACGAATATAACATCCAGTCTTGACGCCGGCGCCATGTGGTGTCACAAACAACACTTCACAGTCAGAGCGTACTCTTAGGCACCTTTCTCAGAGCGCCGACTGTCAGACCGTGGAAAAGGTCATCGAATCGGAGACTTTCCCACGACAGGAAGGAGCCAGACCGTGGAAAACTGTGAATAAAGAAGTGGGGGGGGCCCGACTAAGCCAGAAGCATATTTCACGTTTTCACTGGAGATGCCTGTATGCGTTGGGCAGAGCAGCAATTCGACTGTAAGCTCTCCAGCTGCCACTGAGGATGGTAGTACCGTGCTCGATGTACTACTTCATGATGAGCCGCAGTAGAGTTGAAACGTCTTTCTTCGGTTCATCTTTCTTCGACCCATCGAAGAGTCCACGTACATCAAGTCCCAACAATATGGGGCAGTGCGAACACCGTGGACTCAGGAAAGTTACAGTTCTCGAAAAAGGAATCCTTTCGGGCATGAACGTAGACCCTGGTCTCGTTCGATGGTCAGTGCGGCACGCTCGGCCCAAATAACCCCAAATGACGAAGTTTCAGCAGATTTGGTGAAAACAGCTGTGGCGCCAAATTGGCGCCAAACGGCGCCAAATGGCGCCAGCGCTGAAAACGGGTGTCGTTTTCGTAATCAGGACCCCAAAAAGTGACGAAGTTTTAGCAGATTTGTTGAAAACAGCCGTGGCGCCAAATTTGGCGCTAAAGGCTAAATGGCCAGCTTGAAACGGGTTTCTTTTTTGTAATCAGGACCCCAAAATAACCCCAAATGACGAAGTTTCAGCAGATTTGGTGAAAACAGCTGTGGCGCCAAATTGGCGCCAAACGGCGCCAAATGGCGCCAGCGCTGAAAACGGGTGTCGTTTTTGTAATCAGGACCCCAAATAACCCCAAATGACGAAGTTTCAGCAGATTTGGTGAAAACAGCTGTGGCGCCAAATTGGCGCCAAACGGCGCCAAATGGCGCCAGCTGAAAACGGGTGTCGTTTTTGTAATCAGGACCCCAAATAACACCAAATGACGAAATTTCAACAGATTTGGTGAAGACAGCTGTGGCGCCGAATTGGCGCCAAACGGCTCAAATGGCGCCAGCTGAAAACGGGTTTCTTTTTTGTAATCAGGACCCCAAATAACCCCAAATGACGAAATTTCAGCAGATTTGGTGAAAACAGCTGTGGCGCCGAATTGGCGTGCGCAAAACGGCGCCAAATGGCGCCAGCGCTGAAAACGGGTGTCGTTTTTGTAATCAGGACCCCAAATAACCCCAAATGACGAAGTTTCAGCAGATTTGGTGAAAACAGCTGTGGCGCCAAATTGGCGCCAAACGGCGCCAAATGGCGCCAGCGCTAAAACGGGTCGTTTTCGTAATCAGGACCCCAAATAACCCCAAATGACGAAGTTTCAGCAGATTTGGTGAAAACAGCTGTGGCGCCAAATTGGCGCCAAACGGCGCCAAATGGCGCCAGCGCTAAAACGGGTGTCGTTTTCGTAATCAGGACCCCAAATAACCCCAAATGACGAAAGTTTCAGCAGATTTGGTGAAAACAGCTGTGGCGCCAAATTGGCGCCAAACGGCGCCAGCGCTGAAAAACGGGTGTCGTTTTTGTAATCAGGACCCCAAATAACCCCAAATGACGAAGTTTCAGCAGATTTGGTGAAAACAGCTGTGGCGCCAAATTGGCGCCAAACGGCGCCAAATGGCGCCAAATGACACCAGCATCAAAAATGAATGTCATATTCGTAATCAGGGCATCGAATTACCCCAATAGACAAAGTTTCGACGAAAAATGAAACTTTGAGATTTTGGGGCAGTAATCGTGGGATAGTGCCCAATCCGGCAATAGGGGAAGGCTGAAAACGGTGAAAAACCAAAGTTTCAACTGGGGAAGTAATGCATATCATTCGATAGCATTTTTCACGGGGAAGCTAACGGGGCACATTTCAGGTCTGCGAGTTCATCTGGAAATGCAAAAAATCTGAACATTCCACAAGGGCATGACGAGGAGGCATGTTTGGGGCCACACCACGGAAGGAACGCTTACTTGCGACCGAGTTTTCCACATAATTCCTACAGACAAGTGACCATAGTCTACGACAGTGAAGGAAATTCTTCGCTTCCTTTACAGCTTTCTACAAAACATTCCTCTAAAAATGGGACTTGTCACGTAATAGGGGGCAAAGGCATGACAAGGGGTGATGTTTGGGGTCACACCACGGAAGAAACGCTCACCTGCGACCAAGGTTTCCATATAATCCTTACAGACAAGTGACCGTAGTCTACGACAGTGAAGGAAATTGTTCGCTATCTTCACAGCTTTCTGCAAAACATGTCCTCTGAAAATGGAAAATGTCACATAATAGGCCCACTATGCCTGCTGAGAACTGTTCAAAGATTCCACTTGATATACAGAGGATGGGATATTGAGAGCAGAGGGAACACGTAAAGCCAGTAAGCGCTTAAAAACGAAATGAAGATCTAAGAATTCGGAAAATAACATTCATCTAATCTCACAATGTAGTGGATGAGATTGAGTACGTGGCGCATTCTGGGGTAAGTTTTGAGGCCCTTCTTTGTGTGTAGGGTTAGCCCGCATAAGCGGGATTATATACACATCACATGCGAGCAACTACTTTTTGAGATGAAATCGAGTGCATGGCGCATTCCGAAATCAAGCTTTCTGAAAATATTTTAGCACCATCTTGTAGCGCTTGAAGAGCTGAGTTCAACGGTGTTTTCCGTTTCTGGAATACTTCACTCTGACCCGACTTATAACGAATTCACGAAATTAACGAGGATTCGCGTTATTCGCGTGAATTTTCGATTTCAAACGGCGAGTACTGTATGTGTGTGTCCGTCCGCAAAATGAAGTGAGTGAGAAGGAAGCTCATGGGATAAACAAACCGCTAACAAATCGGGTAGCTTACAGGATTTGAGATATCAATGTTTTGTAGCAGGATAGTTGTGATAACACTCTTAGGGCTATATAAACACCTGCTTAGCACACTTCCGTTCATTCCACATGGTGCTGCAGTGGCAGCTGGAGGGCAGTGGAGAGAGGAAGGGAGGATGAGGAAGGGAAGCGAAAAATCTACCGTCATATCATGATTGTGTCCCTTCTACTGTATGAAACACCATTGTGTTGCATACGCGTCACTTCCAGGAGGTGTTGGTGTCACAGGAGGAAGGGACCATAGCGGAGGATAGAAAGCTTGCGCAGGAAAGGAAGGTCCCGGCGGTTCCTCTCTCCACTGCCCTCCAGCTGCCACTGCAGCACCATGTGGAATGAACG